TCAACAAGGACCAAGAAGAACTGGCCCTGAAAGGGCCCAGCGTAGTCAATGTGCACCCTAGACCATGGGGACTGTGTTTCCTCCCATCTATGGACAGGAGCTTGGGGTATCTCTGGGCGAGATCGTTGGCACAGGTGGCATGCGTGTACCTTAGCCTCAATATCTTTATCTAAAGCAGGCCACCACAAGTGGCTGCGTGCAAGAGCCTTCATACGAACAATGCCAGGATGACCCTCGTGGAGGGATTCTAAGACCCTAGTCCTCATTGAGGTGGGAATGACAACTCTGTTTCCCCAAAGCAGACAACCCTGAGAAAGGGACAGTTCGTTCCTTTTGGACCAGAAACTCTGAAACTCAGGACTAGGGCAGTGCTCAGGCCACCCGGACAGGACCCAGAGCGGACACGTGAAAGTGTGTGATCTGTACCTGTTTCAGCGGTAACATCCCTGGCACTAAGAGGGAGCTCGGGCAAGGCTTGGATTGATAGAATGTTGACAGCTGGCGCGGGGTCAGCTTCTACTACTGGCAGAGGCAACCTACTGAGGACATCAGCATGGCCCATTTCTTTCCCAGGCTTGTGGAGTAATGAAAAATCATATGCAGACAAAAAAATAGACCACCTAAGCATTCTAGGGGAAATGATGTGGGGAGTCTGCTTACGTGTGGTAAACAGTCCCGCAGAGGCTTTGGGTCATGAAGACGTGAAATGCTGCCCTATAGAAAATCGGGAATTTTTTAATTCCAGCAACAACAGCCAGAGCCCTCCCTGTCCTACCTGAAGCCGTAGTTCGCTCAGCAGAAGACAGTGTTCTGGAGTTAGTATGCAATAGGTAACCTGAGTTCCATCAACCTGATGTGACTCAGGACGCTCCAACCCCGTAGGGGGACGCATCACAAGCCGAGCACACAGGGAGAGACTCGTTGAAATGTGCAAGAACACTGTTAGAAGTGAGCAAGGCCTTGACTTCTTTAAAGCAAGCCTCATGCGCTTGTGACCACAGCCACACAGCCTGTTTGTCTAGTATCCTGTGAAGAGGCTCAGCTACACTAGCTTTATGTGGAAGAAAAGAATTGTAGAAATTCAGGAGGCCTAGGAAGGCCTGAAGTTCGGCCTTAGACTTTGGCCTGGGTGCATCTAAAATAGCAGTTATTTTGGATTCAGCAGGATGAATCCCAGCAGCATCAATTTTGAATCCCAGAAATTCAGTAGAAGGCACCCCAATCTGGCATTTGTCTTTTCTGAGCTTGAGGCCTGATTTCCTGAATCTTAACAGGACAGCCCTAAGCCTTTCAGCTAGAATGTGTGTGGAGTCTCCTGCAATCAAGACATCGTCAAAGTAGGGGCAGACCCCTGGTATACCTCGTAGTGTGTTTTCCATTACGCTTTGGAAATCCCAGGAGCGACATTCACTCCAAACTGTAGCCTTTTTACCTTAAAGGCTCCCCTGTGGGTCACAATGGTCTGAGCTATAGCAGCATCATCATCAACAGGCAGCTGTTGATATGCTTGAGCTAGGTCAAGCTTTGCAAAAACACGCCCCCCCTTGAGAGAGGCCAGGATGTGACTGACCACAGGAACAGGATAGGCATGTTGCTGCAATGCCTTATTGAGTGTGCATTTGTAATCAGCACAAATGCGAATGTCCCCATTTGCCTTTAGAGGCGTGACAATGGGGGTCTCCCATGGGCTGGAATCAACAGGTTCTAGGATTCCCTGTTGGATTAGTTTGTCTAGTTCAGTGTCAATCTTACTTTTTAAAGCAAAAGGGACCCTTCTTGCTTTAATCCTAATGGAGTGACAGTGGGGTCTAGCTTTAAGGACACAGGTGGTCCTTTGAATGTGCCCAGCTGGGGGCTGAAAACATCTGCAAATTCTTTGCAGACTTCCTGTAGTCGAGTGTTTGTAAGCTGTTGAGTCCTGTGACGTGTATCCCCAGGGCCTCAAACCAATCGAGTCCTATGAGACTCGTTCGTTCACCCCCTACTACTAATAAGTCTAGTGGACCTTCAAAACTCTTGTATTGCACGTTAAGGGTGGCCTCCCCCTTAACACACACTCTTGAGTTCTGAAAATCTGTTAATACAATATCAGAAGGCCTTAACTTGGCCTTAGTCCCACTACTGGAACAAATCTTCCTAAATGTATGCAATGAAATGATGGAAAGGGCAGACCCTGTGTCTAGTTCCATAGATAATGGAACCCCTTGTAGCTTCACGTTGAGTGACAGCTTTTTCTTCATGGGCTTGTGTGTGCCTGTCCTACAGATGCTTCTTCGCGAAGCGCAAAAACCTACCCTATTCTGGCTGGGGAGTCTGGTACCCTTCAGGCGTTCTTCTTGGGGTTGTGCCTTTCGTCGGGCCAGACACACAGCTGCAATGTGCCCTTGTTTGCCGCATGCCCGGCAGGTAGCGGAGCGGAACTTGCAGTCAGCCGATGCACTTGAGCGGAGCCGAAGAGCTTCCCTTCTGGTTCTCTTCCTTCGCGGGGTGTAGACGGTCGACTTCTTCGTCCGGATCCTCCTCGGAGTTTCGTCAGACGTCTTCCTGGTGCACGGACGCACCCTCTGCACTGCTTCTGATCGGCCGCATGTTCTTGACGGCGCCGCTTGCTGCTTCTTCTGCGGTGACTTCCCTTAAGGCGTCTTGGAAGGATAATTCTTCCTTGGCGAAAAGTCTCTGTTGTAGCTCTCGATGCCTTAACCCGCACACGAATCGGTCCCTCAGTCGTTCCTCGAGGTCCTTGAACTCGCAGGGCTTGGCGGCCTTCCGTAACGCGGCTATGTATTCCTTGGCTGACTCACCGGACCGTTGATCCCTCTGTTCGAAGGTGTGGCGCCATGAGATAACGGACACCTTGGGGTGGAAGTGCTCCTTCATCAGCTTCTTCAGGTCTGCGTAGCTTACAGACTCTACTGGAACAGGTGCTGCAAGGTTTTCTGCGATTTCGAAGGCGTCTTGGCCGCAAACGCAAAGCAGGGTGGCAGCCTTCAAGCTATCTTCCTCACTTGGTTTGCCTTGAAGTAGTTCTCCATTCTGGATACGTAGGACTCCCACCGCTCTGGATGTGAGACGTCGAATTCTGAAAGCCTTCCGATTTTCGCCATCTTCGGATCTTCAGGAGACGGGTCTATCAGCCAGCCTACCCCCGAATGCGCACCGGAATGGCGGGCAGCTGCCGAGTCGACGCCGTTCCTCTTCCGCCGCTCAGGACTCCTTGGGTAAGCTTACACTTCTTCCTTTCCAGGTAGTGCAAGGCATCCCATCCTCGTCGCCAGTGTTGAGTCCGTGGCGGGAAAGCAGACACGAGAAGCAGCTGGAGTTCTCAGTTTCTTTTATTCAGCGTTCAGCTTACAGGAAGATGGCTTCAGCCTCGCCCAAACGCCTCGCAGCCTCTTATATAGGCAACTCCCGGGTAAATGGGTTACTTTTCCCGCGCCAGCACCCGCGCATGCGCACGGCACTGGCGACAGCCTGTCTGGTCCCGGGCAGCTTTGCACCTGCCCGGGACTGCCTGCAAACGCCCGAGCCGTTTGCAAAGGCTCGGGACATAACAGGATGCATTTAAATTCCATAAAAATGAAACAGGAGAAGATCATTACAAATACATTTCTGTGAGTTTTAAGCTTCACTAATTTACAGGATTGTAACTACTATACTCAACCTAAGTAAGCAAATAAAATATATCATCTGGGCATACATAATGCTTTGAGGATAATAAATGACAGAGTAAGAGAAGAGGGATATTTCTTTGGCTAAACTGTTGTAGTATTAATTACTCTGAATATTAATTTTGTTCCATAACAATGCCCAATTTTAAAAAAGGTTACTTCTATTGTTATCAATTGCAGTCATCAGAAATTAATTTTCCATGTTCTCAAGAGCTACATCAAGTTGAAATCAAATCAGAACTCTATGTTTAAAAAATGAACAGCCAATCCATCATACAAATTAATTGACATTGCTAGCCTTACTAAAAAAAAACCTACATTACACTTCCCATCATTGTTCTAAACATATTTTTACACAGTAGCTATTATTTATTTCTTCTAATTCCTGTCCTTTTTCAGGATACCATCAGAGAGTCTACAGAGCTGAATTTTGGAAACAGATCCTCTAAATGGCTAAAGTATGAATTTTTTACTGAAACTCTGTAACCTATATTTTGTATATAAACCACATATAATGAACCCCTAGAATTGCTGGATCTTTCAAGGTATAGAAGTTTTACACACACACACACACACACACACACACACACACACACACACACACGGAGATACTATGCAATTTCTTTCTCCTAACAGTGTCCCTTGAGCTTCTGCTTTCTCTTTTCCCTCTTCATTTTGCAATTAACCCTGTTGAAATTTTGCTTGCTAGGACAAGCAAAGGAACACATGGGTGATAGGCTACCTGCAACCCCTCTACATTTTGACCTGAAACATAAGCTCATATCTGGTTCTTCTTCTTTTTTTTTTTTGAATCAAATGTTCCACCTGGTGAACAGAGATTCATAAATTGCATGTACATAATAAGCTGAACATAAACATGGTTTTCAAACCAAGTGGCTAAGCTAAAACCCAACCATCATATTGTATCCAGGTCATCACACTAAGCCCTAATGAGCTTTACTTGTTTTTGCTTCACATGTTTTTAATATCCTATCTTTATTGTTTTTACAAACAATTCAAGGAGAGTAATCCAAAGTCACCCAGTTGTCTTTCATGGCTGAGGAGGATTAGAACTCACAGTCTGTAAACCTAGTTCATGTGGTTTGTTAATCAATTAGTGCATTATGAGAATGTAGCTGTATTCTGTATTCCACATAATGATTTACCCACCTAATTGTGCCAAGAAACTGGAGCTGTGCAAACATAAATATTCATCCTTCATGCAGATCAATCCCATATCGACCGATGGATTGACCTCAGTCCTTAAGTCCAGAAGAAGTTGGATGGGCACTGGGGAATGCTAAACCAACTGTTCAGTCCATAGGTACTGACCTGTCCATTGGAAAATGGGCTTCTTCCCCTTTCCGGAAGTCTGTGCTATTCTCCAGCCTGGCTAGCACTTCCATCCTCTTCACCATTGTCTCCAACATATCACTCATTTTCCTCAGCACTCCTCTTGACTCCAGAGTCCCCATCACTGCAGTCATACAGGAAAGCAGGAGAAAGGAACAGAAGAACATTCTACAGTGGTGCTCAAGAAGCAGCAGAGATACATTCAGACAGATGGAAAAGGCAAACATTAATTCTTGCGAATGGGAAAAAGGCAGGAAGAAGTTGCTGACAAGATTTCAGTCTGACGCACATTACTACATGGTATATGCTCTGTTCTTGGATTAGCTTGTTCTCAGCAAAAACAATAAAATAACCTAAAAGCAAATATAACATTATGTGATGGGCCGGTGTGAATCACTCCTGATTCAGATCAAAGTGCAGATTCAATAGGCAACGAAGGCATGAATTCAGCTGACTTTGCAATTTGGGATTCATAGATTAAGTTGAACTGAAAAAATATTTATCTATTAGACTCCAATAAGATGTTTGAGAGTGTTTGCAACACCTTCATTTTCCAACAGAATTTGGTTAAAAATAGCAGGGGTCATTAATCCTGCCAACTTTCAGCTATACAATTTTTAAAATATTCTCCCTGCATAACTTTTAAGGCAGAGAAAGCAGGAGTAAGAAAAGGACAGCATAGCAGTTTCTAGACTACCTGGGAAAAAAGCCTAAAAAACCCCAATGAGATATATGTCCTATTCCATTTTTAAAACTCAAACAAACAAGCATTAAAAGTGGCTTTAAAAATAAGTTCTAATTTTTTTCTCTTGCTTTTCTATACTGTACTGCTCAGCTTGGTATAATACTGAAGAACCATCACTGACTTGCTGATATAAGATGATACCGTTTTGTTGCCTCTGATCTTCAGGCTTTTGAGGTGTCAGGAAGGTGGGTGCCTCCTAAGAAGAACCCATAATCAGTAGCAGGACTTGATGGTGTCAGGGTTGTGATAAACTGTTAATACTTTGTTAGCTAGTTATTAGCAGTAGAGACAGCAGAAGCAGGTTGGCACAATGAAATATAACAGCATACACAGAAATAGCCCACTGAGAAAGTTGTATTTATAGCTTGCAATCCTCTATTATTTTTTTTTAAGTGTGCTTTTGAGCAGGTAGCCCTCGATTTACAACAGTTCATTCAGTGAATGTTCAAAGTTATAATGGCACTGAAAAAAGTGATTTATGACCAGCTTTCACACTTATGATCACTGCAGCATTCCCCATGGTGACATAATCAAAATTCAGATGCTTTGTGAAAGTTGGACCATAAGAAAGGCTGAGCGCCAAAGAATTGAGGCCTTTGAACTATGGTGCTGGAGAAGACTCCTGCAAGTCCCTTGGACTGTAAGGTGTTCATACTGGTCAGTCCTAGAAGAGATCAACCCCGACTGCTCTTTAGAAGGCCAGATCCTGAAGTTGAAACTCAAATACTTTGGCTACCTAATGAGAAGGAAGGACTCACTGGAGAAGGGCCTAATGCTGGGAAAGATTGAGGGCAATAGAAGAAGGGGATGACAGAGAATGAGGTGGCTGGATGGAGTCACTGAAGCAGTAGGAGTGAGCTTAAATTGACTCCAGGAGATGGTAGAGGACAGGAAGGTCTGGAGGAACATTGTTCATGGGGTCGTGATGGTCAGACATGACTTCGCAATTAACAACAACATATTTATGATGGTTGCAGTGTCCCGGGATCATGCGATCATGTCATGTGATCATCTTTCATGACCTTCTGAGAAGCAAAGTCAACAGGGAGGCCAGAATTATTTAACAACTGTGTTACTAACTTAACAATTGCAATGATTCATTTAACAGCGGTGGCAAGAAAGGTCATAAAATGGGGCAAAACTCACTTAACAAATGTCTTACTTAGCCACAGAAATGTTGGGCTTAATTGTGGTCGTAAGTTGAGGACTACCTCTTCTTGTGCTACTCTGATTCCTATTCATTTGTTGTCCAGAGACTTAGACCTGCCTCAATCTTGGGAATGTTAAAAGTAGAACAAGAAGTCTTCTTTGTTCCCATATTCAAAGTGCTAAGAATTGTTCTGATTCCCACTTGCTTTGGCAGGACCAGCAGAGAAGTATAAAAACCCCTAGTCTTAAAGTTTCTAGCAGGCTACATTTAAAATGGTGAGACCTGAGGGAAGAAAGGAAGTATTTGTTATACTTCTGAGGAATGAATATACTTGATGAAATGGAAGATGGAACACAAATATTTATGTGCTAAGAATTTATCTTTAATATATCACAAGATTTTTATTTTTAACGTTATAGACTAACATGGCCACCCAAATAAAGTTATATCAATAATTTGGCATTTCCAGGATTTGTGCTATAACCTTAGGCTTGTTATTCAATAAATACTTTCACAGAATTCAGCTATGGGAATTATTTTTTGCAAAACATGTTTGGAGAACATTACAAACAGCATTAACTTCCATTATTTAATACATTTATCCATAGATTTCCTTATCATGTTGGCTGAGAAACCAAGCCTATTGGTTTTTTTATTGTTTCTTTCATGATGATAGAAAGACCTTGAGATGAAAGTAAAGGGCAAAATTCATCCTGTATAATATTTATATGTACGCCCCCTACGAAGCTAAGTTGCTCATCAAATTTATTGCTGTCATTTCATTCTTCTGAACTTCTTTAAAGCAAATTTTCATTTACAAAGCAGTAGGAGGTTAGAGGACACGAGAAACAATTGGAGGCCTACAGACACACTGTAATGTAATGCATATTTTCACTAGCACCAAACATAGACCTGCCACCAAACAGTACCCCAATGTTTCTGGATTAAGGGACAAAGTTCTTTCAGCTCCTATATAGGTAGAATACCATACTGTATCTGGGATGCAAAATCTCTACTGTTCTGCTGCCATTTAAGGGCTGTCTGAATGTTGCCAATCAAGGTATAAGATTATTATTATTAATAATAATAATAATAATACTATAATGACAATGATGATGATGGAAGGGGCCTTGGAGGTCATCTAGTCCAACCCTCTGCTCAGGCAGGAAACTCTATACCATTTCAGACAAATGGCTGTACAGTCTCTTCTTTAAAAAATCCAGTTTTGGAGCATTCACAGCTTCTGGAGGCAGGTTGTTCCTAAGATTCCTAATATTTATTTATATTTTTGCTTCTGTTATTTGGTTAGATTTATATCTATCCTTTTCTCCAAGAGCATTTTACAAGATATCTCCCTTCATTATATTCCTACACAGCAATCCTATGAACTAGGCTGGGCTGAAGGAGAGTGACAGGGCCATAGGCACTGAGGAGGTTTCTGTTCGTGATGGAACCAAAGTCTCCCTGATCCTAGTTCAACCAATTAGCCACTATACCACACTAACTCTTTTAAGACATATTTCAGGAATCAAGGTTCAGGTCCAAGATGGTTATCCTTTAAATTTCAGGTTATTAATTGCATGACCTTTGTGGTGAGTTTTAATTCTTAGTAAAATTTCTATTATAATAGGGAAAGCATAAAGAGACCAATTTCTTTGTGCAGAGATTGATAAGAGAAGAATTACTATAGCTATTGGAGTTCTACATATCTACAGTGCAGCATGTCAGAAGCATGGCCATTTGAGCTAGGAATGTTGAAAACTACTTTGCATTTTCATGCAAATTTCTCCAATATCCAATATCTTCCGAAATTGTCCAGAACTTCCACCCCTAAAAAAAAACCTTACAGTAGCCTATAATGGAAAAATACATTAAAGATATAGTATATTGGGGAAAATTGCTTGCAAAAGTGCATATATTAGGTGGAATGCATTTAAAAATGAATATTATTAGGAGAAAGTGCATACAAAAAGCATATATTTCTGCAGATTTTTTTATGTTACAAAGAAAAGAGCTGAGCCAGACACACACCCCATGATAGAAAAAAATGAAATGTATAGGTGAAGAAAATGTATGAAGTTATTCAGTTAAATCTTCCTGAATGATTTAAAATGTATTTCTCTATACAACTGAACTCAATACACCAGGGATAACAATCTTGCTATTGTTTACATGCTTATTTTTCCCCCAAATGAGAGCAGAGATAATTAAGAATCCCTGATGCTGGCGGGACTGCCAAATTCTTGACTAGTTCTGCTCCAACACTTTTTTAAGAACAACCTGACATGTAGAAATTAAGCAACTGGATTTTTTCCTACTTTTTTGATTAGTTTCCATATCTTCCTATCCATATTCACATCAGCCCTTTAATTTCTGGATCTCAGGCTATGTAGAATAGAAAACAAAGACATCAGAAGGTGGTTCAAAACCCAATCAAAACTTTATCCATGACAGTACCAGCAGTTCAAAATATTTGACTAAATACTAGTAACTAGCCTGTCTTCAATATGAATGATCTGTCCAATAATATGAGATGACTTTTCCTTGTTTTACTGAAGGATTTCCAGTTGACTTTAAAAACTCATTTTTAAAGAGAGGGGGGGAGGGAGGGAGGGAGGGAGGGAGGGAGAGAGAGAGAGGGAGAGAGAGAGAGAGAGAGAGAGAGAAAGAGATCTTCCTTTTTTTCTTGGCAACATGTCTTTCAGTTGTGAAGTGAGGTTCTATCTTTACCAAAGTGGTAACCATGTAAAAATCAAGCTTCTTCTCCATGGGCTCTTGAGAGATGTCAGACATCTGTTCTTAAGTTTACCTTTGAAGTATAATGACCATAGAGTTTTTTATTATAGATAGTTCTTTATTAATAGGCAGAGGACAGTCTCCTGTTTGACAGATTAATTGATCTGGATAAGATAAATTCTCAATAAGTTGAGTTTGATTTCGAGTGAATTCATGGAGACATCTATATTGTTTCTTGACAGCAATATAAAAATGGTTTGTCCAAGCATACTTCCAACCCAACCTAGTTTATAGCACATGATTTTTCAGTGGTCTCTTATCCCACTACTAAATAGATTAGGCCCTGCTTAAGTTTTCATAAGAAACTAAGGTCAATTAAATGCAAGATTTAGATAAAATATCATAAGAATAATATGAGGGGTCTTCATCAACAGCTGACAAAAAAACAGATACCTAGAACACCCCTTCACTGCTTGCCCCCCCAGAATGAAAT